AAAGGGATGATATAAGCATGAAGTGAAAAAAGAAAAGGGGGACGGCAAAACCAAAGCGAAAAGAAAAGAGAAAAAAAAAGAGAAGGCTGAAGAAGGCTAATAAAAAAAAAAGGAAGTAAAATGAAAGGAGATTGGAAAAAATGAATGATTCACCAAACAAAGGTGAATTGTGACTTTAATGCCATATTCATTGGATAATTCACTTTAACTCCCTTTACCCCTCGTTTCTCTTAGTCCTCACTCGAGGCCACATTATAACTAGAAAAAGTCCTTTTTGATCTCAAGGATACATGGCAAAAGTACATTCTAAAGGATCATTTAGTTCTCAATGACACTGTCTAAAATTGCCCTAACATTGCATTCATGAGATTATACTAAGGTCGTTTCAATTGTTTTATGTGCTTTTCAAATTTTGATTATACGTGAGTTATTCTTCGTTTTGAATACAAGATTATGTCTCACGTATAAGCATTGAGGGAAAATCACTATAACTATAGAGTAATTTACTCTGAGAGAAACCCTTTGTGAGAATTGAATCGAAGCTGAATTTGGATAGCAAAAATGGGTGTGAGATGTTTAAGTAAGTTGTTTAAATTTGCATGATCATTGTACACACAAGAGTCCTGAAGGGAGATGTGTAGGTGAGTACTTTTGAAAAGCATTTAAATCTATGGGGATTTGAACCGATGACTTTCGCCTTACCATGGCGATACTCTACCACTGACACATGGGTAACTAGTTCAGATGAATGCAAAAAATTTTGTTCAAGGCACCCCAGGGCTGGTCAGGATGATGAAATATATTTCAAATACTGGATATGAAAAAAAAAAGGAGAAGAGAAAAGTTTGTAGGTAGCTTCATTGTAAACCTTCATGTGCAAAAAGCTCGCCCGCTAGGGATAGGAAGAAATTGGAATAGCATAGACTTTATTTTGTACTTTACTTGATGGTGTTCATTTTTTTAATTTAGAATTCCATTACATGTGTTTTGAAATCGTCAAGACTTAAATCACGTTGCAATTTAGTAAATGAATTCGGGCAAAGTCAGATAGTGTGATTCAGTAGGATGGTGTAACGCCCCAAAATCTACCTTGGAAGACATTACTATCTAGAAACCATCCAACCATGAGAGTAACTAAAAATAACCATTAAAACAACCAATCATTCATCCATCTAATAAAGAATAGATGTTAAAGCCAATAAAACATTAAAACCTCTCCAACTTAAAATTCAAACCAAATAGTATCTAGCAGTGGAATAGTCAAAACTAGCTAAAACATTGTTCCATAAAAATCTCTCAAATAAAGTAGTCTAGACTAAGATGAAGCATCTCTAATCCTCCACTTCAGGATCCTCATACTATCCTATCCATTCTCAAGGTCGACCTGCTCATCTAATTCAACATCCTCCTCTTTGCCAAAATCTGTTAATGTGTTGTAGGGGGTGAGCAAAAGCCCATAGGAAATCCCTCTCAAATCCCAACAAGGTTTTTAAAACAATAAAAAGAAGGCAAGTCTCTTCTAAAAAATAACATATATAAATTTTTTGGAGTAAAAACATGACAATTGCAATGATCTCAAGTGTACAAAATACCATAAATCAATGAAAGAAATAAACATATCTGAATTAAAGCAATAAATAAATAACTCAGTAGCTTTATCCCGTATTCTCTTGTATGTTGATTCATCCCCATTCTCATATATGTTGGTTGTTTATTAGGAATCTGCACAACGATTCTACCTCATTCACTCATCATAACCACACAATCTCTATCATTTCCCAAAGGGCCAAATCACAAACAACTTTAGGAAGGGCGTATACCATCTCCCACGACATTAACGAATCCTTCCTAGTAAAAGTATATCATCCCTTAGCCTCGAACTTACGTGAACAATAGTGGTTGCTCTCACAAATAACAATCCATTACAAGTGTTAGGCAACCATCTCACCCCTACTGGGATAGACTAACCTCTAATACTTTACGGTAGCTCTCGAAAGCAATTCATGTCTGTCACACCCAAACCATACAAGAGATGAAACCACAACTTTATCAATAACCACAATCTTAACCCATCATAATTTCCATTAACTATTCAAGTATAAAAATTACACAATTCTCAATATACTAAAAAAATAAAGGAATTAAAATATGCAAGAGATCATATCAAGAAACTCTTCAAATTTTGATATCAAAATTCTAGGGTTTTGCCAAAAATCATAATTTCTTGGAACAAGAACAAGTATTAGATAAAAACATGATTTAATCAAGAATAGTAATTTTGAAATCAAGGATCCATGTATTTTTCATAACCAAACATGTATTTAGCAAAACTAGAGTTTTGAAAATTCAAGAACAAATATTATTTTAACCCAAACATGCATTTGGTTCAAAACTATGTTTTAATGATAAAGAAACCAAGAAATCATAAATATTTATTATATAATTATCAAGAAGATTGAAAACATACAAAGATAATACCCTAAGTCTCAATAAAAGAACTCANTCTCTATCATTTCCCAAAGGGCCAAATCAAAAACAACTTTAGGAAGGGCGTATACCATCTCCCACGACATTAACGAATCCTTCCTAATAAAAGTATATCATCCCTCAGCCTCGAACTTACGTGAACAATAGTGGTTGCTCTCACAAATAACAATCCATTACAAGTGTTAGACAACCATCTCACCCCTACTGGGATAGACTAACCTCTAATACTTTACGGTAGCTCTCGAAAGCAATTCATGTCTGTCACACCCAAACCATACAAGAGATGAAACCACAACTTTATCAATAACCACAATCTTAACCCATCATAATTTCCATTAACTATTCAAGTATAAAAATTACACAATTCTCAATATACTAAAAAAATAAAGGAATTAAAATATGCAAGAGATCATATCAAGAAACTCTTCAAATTTTGATATCAAAATTCTAGGGTTTTGCCAAAAATCATAATTTCTTGGAACAAGAACAAGTATTAGATAAAAACATGATTTAATCAAGAATAGTAATTTTGAAATCAAGGATCCATGTATTTTTCATAACCAAACATGTATTTAGCAAAACTAGAGTTTTGAAAATTCAAGAACAAATATTATTTTAACCCAAACATGCATTTGGTTCAAAACTATGTTTTAATGATAAAGAAACCAAGAAATCATAAATATTTATTATATAATTATCAAGAAGATTGAAAACATACAAAGATAATACCCTAAGTCTCAATAAAAGAACTCACGAATAATTCTCTATCTTTAATCCGATGATTGAAGATAACCCTAGCGTGTTTGAATCAATCCCGAAGCGAGAATCCTCCTCGTGTCTCTTCTCTTTCTTCCTCTTAAGCTTTCTAGGATTTTCTTGGATGAGCAATTGCTAAACATAGGCCTAAGGGTTGTTTCTTAGGTATTTATAATGCAAAAAGTGGCAAAAACTCTCAACATAGGTCGTTCAAATTTTACCCGGTGCGTCCGGATGTGTGTTTTTCTCATTCCCTCGACTTACAGCTCGATTTTGACCTATTTACAACCCGATCGTCCGCACATGTTTGAAAGCATACCCCCGTCTGGATGCATTTGAAAGCATACCCCCAACTTATAGCTCTATTTGGACCTATTTACAAGCCGATTGTTCGGATGCGTGTTTCTCCCTTTCATATGTGTCTAACAGTATAATCCCTACTTACAGCTCGATTTTGACATATTTACAAGTTGATTTAGGAAATGTTTGTGAAATACACTTTTGTATCTTTTGAAGTCTAATTTCCACTGTCCAAAAATAAGCTCAATTAGAATTCAGATTAAAAAGTTATGACTAAAATACTAAGATAGTGTCAAATTCCTTTCTACCCAAATCCTCTCCAAAATAGGTCCTAACTCTGGAATACTTCTAAAATATATCTCATATAACCTCTTTCGATGTTTTTCAACCTTATGATTCATTGGAAACCTTATTTTGACCTAAAAATATATTAAAAATTACTTAGCAACTCTTCTCAAACTTAAACACCTTCGAAACTAAGTTTTACCCAAAACTCAAACTTCATGATCAATCTTTCAACAACAATTCAAGGTTTCTACAATATTTTTATTCATCCTAGGACAAATATTAAGGTGATATTATTCTTATTTAATTCTAATACGATTTCTTACACATGGATCATGTTTTTGGGTAGTTAAGTTAGGAAATAGGTTGTTAGAGTGTTTTGGAGTCAAATAACATAAAAAGGAGTGGGAGTGAGAAAGAGCACCAAAGAATTTTTTTTGAAACAATAAGGGCTGGTACTGGCACCAAGTCAAATAGGTACCAATACCTAGAAGATAGAACACTCAGGTACCGGTGCTTGATTGACATGGTATTGGTACCTCGTTCCCTAATTTGCAAAAATTGAGGGTTTTAAAAGGGGAAAATTTGGATTTGATTTCATTATTCTCACTTTCTCCTCCCTCAAACACTCTCTCATCTCCATAAAAATTTTCCAAGCCATCCAAAAAATTTTGGGCATCCATCAAGATCCTCAACTTCTTCACTCAAGGCATCAATCTAGTGATTATGGCAAGTTTTGGTAAGTACCCTTCTCCACCTTTCAATTTTTTCACTTTGATTTGGAAGTGGGTTCCCCAATTCTTGGCTCTTGGGTTGTTTTAGACTTTGATGGTCTGCATGAAACAAACGGGTCCTACCCCAATGAAACAAGCAGGCATAGGGCCCTAAAGAGGAATGGATGAAACGGGCCCAAGTTGAAAAAGACCCCATGAAGAAAAGAAAAAATGTCCCCCACATGACAACCATCAAGGTGAAAAATGTGACGTGCGAGCATAAAGTTGATAGAGACACCTTAAAGGCTGAATGATGTGCTTATTAGAGCCAGTGAGAGCCATGATCTACATTTTTGGTTTCAAGAAGTGAAAGGGTATTTTCTCCCTTATTGTTGGTACTTTTATCAAAAATTGGTATTGGTAGATGTTCAGTTAGAATTTTTGAAGACCAATGTGCAGGGAAAAGGGATTGAGGTCACCCCGGTAGTCATTGCTGAGGCACTACAATACCAAAGGCCTCCTGCTGATATAGTCGTCTACCCCTATGGCACTAAAAGGAGGAAACAACTCCATGAGTATGCGCACTTGGTGTACAAAGACCCCATGAAATTCAGTGAAAATATCCAAGTCAAGGAGCTCAAGAATTCTTATGGGGTGATGCACAAGATTCTTCACTATAATGTTCTACCTTGGGGAGCAGAGAAGAAGCATGGGGAAGAAAAGATGGCCCTACTTTATGAGTTCATGGTCGGCTCGTGGATGGACATTTCCTTGTTGATCTGAGAGGTGATGCAGGACTACGCCCAAACCACAAAGACTAGGGTGAACTTGCCTTATCCCCACTTGGTCCCCGAGATTTGCTTTTAGAGCAAGATCAAAGCCTACCCCAATGACGTGCTGCTCCCACATGAGTTTGGTCCTATAGGCAAATAGAGTAGTAAGAAGAGAAAGGTTATGACTCAGGGGTTTAGGCACTAAGAGGAGAGGGCTGAGCCATCTATGGCTGGGCCATCTACATCTGGGTCATCCATATTCACCCCATCAATGACTATTTCCTAGTGGTTGACTGGGATTAAGGGGATATTGGAAAATTTCAGGGGAAATCTGTAACTGCTGAAACTAATAATGAATAGGTTTTTTAGTTAGCATATTCCTAAGAAGACCTCTCCATGATATGACAGCACCACCAGCTACTGCATCAGATATTCCAGCACTAGTGCCTGGAACTAGCACCTTTCGCTCCATTCCTCTCGACTATTCTTAATGTTGTAGAGTCTGGAGATGATGAGGAAGATGATAATGAGGATGATGATGATGGTGATGAGGATGATTATGATGATAAGGAGTAGTAGAGGAGAGATAGACTAGTTGTCATTCCCTGTTTTGTTGTTGTATAGTGGTTTTTGGGAGTCATAACATAGAACAAATTACAATAGGACTAACAAGCCTAGTAGAAGACTCTCTAGGGAAATAGGTCAGTTATTGTGTTCCTGGTTCTCAATGAAAACACTATGAATGAAAGAACATGTTGTTTTAACTTTCTCCCGAATTTAGTATCCTAAATGCAATTGATTTGAGTATTTTGAATTAGTCCATGAAATGATTAACATGAATGGAAGTGTTATTGTTGCATTTTATTTATCTTTTTGAATAACATTTGCTAGGTACTAGCAAAAATCAAGTTGGGGGTGTGATGACTACGTGATATTGAACATTTAATAACCTTATTACATCCATTTTACATTGTTTTTTGTAATAAATTGTGGGAAATTGGTTTAAATCAGGGATTAAGGGAGAATTTTTTGATTTAAGGTGATTGAATGGTAAATAAAGGATTTAATCATTTTGCAACATGACTGGGGACAATAGGCAAGAAAGCAACTCAAGACAAATGGCTCGGGACCTTGAAACGCATAAAATTCAAAGAACACAAATGAGGTATCGATACCCACGTCACTAGGTACCAGTACCTAAGCTCACTTGAATGTAGGTATTGGTACCTAAAACTTGGACCTCTGCCTTTTGAAATANGAGGATGATGATGATGGTGATGAGGATGATTATGATGATAAGGAGTAGTAGAGGAGAGATAGACTAGTTGTCATTCCCTGTTTTGTTGTTGTATAGTGGTTTTTGGGAGTCATAACATAGAACAAATTACAATAGGACTAACAAGCCTAGTAGAAGACTCTCTAGGGAAATAGGTCGGTTATTGTGTTCCTGGTTCTCAATGAAAACACTATGAATGAAAGAACATGTTGTTTTAACTTTCTCCCGAATTTAGTATCCTAAATGCAATTGATTTGAGTATTTTGAATTAGTCCATGAAATGATTAACATGAATGGAAGTGTTATTGTTGCATTTTATTTATCTTTTTGAATAACATTTGCTAGGTACTAGCAAAAATCAAGTTGGGGGTGTGATGACTACGTGATATTGAACATTTAATAACCTTATTACATCCATTTTACATTGTTTTTTGTAATAAATTGTGGGAAATTGGTTTAAATCAGGGATTAAGGGAGAATTTTTTGATTTAAGGTGATTGAATGGTAAATAAAGGATTTAATCATTTTGCAACATGACTGGGGACAATAGGCAAGAAAGCAACTCAAGACAAATGGCTCGGGACCTTGAAACGCATAAAATTCAAAGAACACAAATGAGGTATCGATACCCACGTCACTAGGTACCAGTACCTAAGCTCACTTGAATGTAGGTATTGGTACCTAAAACTTGGACCTCTGCCTTTTGAAATAAAGAGATGAAGTAGGTAATGCTACCTTCATCACTAGGTACCGGTACCTGAGCTTATAATGAAATGGGAGAGAAAAAAGAGAATGATTGAAAAAGGAATGGGACCATGCCTTTTGTCTGGTTTTTGGAAGCCTTTTTGGTGAACCTCTTTCCAAAGCAACAGACCTCTGCACACTCAGGGATACAGAGAGAAGGATGGACAAAACTTGAGGATACTTTGGAATAATTTTTCATCTTTTAGAAAGGGAAGCTCCAAGGGAGAAGAAGATGGTTCTAGAGAGAGAAAGCTAGGTTTTTACATTTTCCTTTACCATTTTCATTCTTGTAAGCTTCAATCTACATGTAAACCTTCTTTCTAGCACATTAATCTCATTTATTTGAAGTTGTATTGAGTTTGGCTAGGGTTTACTAGTTTTATTGTTTGCATTTGGGTAATTTCTTTTCATGCTTTACATTTTGAGTATGAATGCCATTTCCTTTATAGTCTAAACTTTCTATTACATTAATACAAGTTCATGTTTGACTTCGTTACCATGTTTTTTTCTTTCATGTTTGTTCTTGCCTTTATCATGAGTAGCTAAACCTTTAGTTGACTAATCCAAGAGGGATTTCCTCTTGGGTATGTAGAATCAATTCTTTTTCATTCCTCCTCGTAGTGTAAAGTGTTTGGTTTGATTAGGTTGAGTGCGGATGAATGTTGTTGTAGGATTTTGATATGTCATAGACTTGTCGTAGGGTATGCTCTTGTCCAACTAACTATATTCATCTCTTACTTCCTACGAATCAATCAAACACCTAGGCACCATTGGTAGAATAGACTGAATTGACTCGGTATACCCATTGGAATGAACTCTATGGATAAGCCAACCCTTTTTCTACTTGAAAATGTTTCAAAATACAAACCATCAAACTTCAAATCATAATATTTTCCATCTTTTCCTTCGCAATTCACTTCGTCGCAATTCACTTCGAAGACACTTGATCTTTCCTTCCCTAAGGAGACAACCTCAGAACTTTTTTTGAGTTAAAACACGACACTATAAGTCTCTCTATTCTTGGGGGAGCATTTTTGCATATTCACACACGTTTTCATTCATCCACACATAATTGCCCTATATCTTGCACTGTTTGGGTGAGAGTGACAGTCACCCTCTATTATAAGTCATACACATAATTGGGTTCGTGTGGGAAGCAAGGCAAAAAATCAAGAAAAATCCATTAATGGAAGATACTTAAAAAGATATTATCCAACCATGTGGAATTCTTGTAACATTGATTGATTACAAAATTGTCATGGAATAAGAAAAGTATGTATTCCTGAAAAGTTACTTACAAAGTAAAGAGGCCATAAAATCTGGCCATTATACAGAACATAAGTAAGAATTACAGGAAAATATCTATCATAAAAGCCATCTTTGATGACTAGGGATCCTTCTTGGGTTTTGTCTTCCTTTAAGATGAGTCAGATGAAATCTCTGTCTCAGGAGAAGGTTCAGTAGAAGTAGGTGTTCTGGTGGGAGCAGTCCCTTGAGGAGATGGAGAAAATGATGAATCAACTTCATGTGCTACTTTCCTACTTGTCATTTGTGTGGCTGGCATGAAAAAGGAGTCCCCTTGTTCTTTAGCTCCTATTTCTTGGTTGTATTTCTTCCTTCTAGATAAGTCTTCCCCAATAGCAAGACTAACAAAAGGGCAGGTTATAGGATGGCTTTCACCCGTAAAGGAAAATCTAGAAGGGAAGGTTGTAAATGTTATTGCTCAGAGTTCACTAAGTAAGTGCGACAGTGATTAACCCTAATTAATGCATAATTTAATTAAGTTAATTGATCAATTGTGTTGGTTAAACAAAGTTAAACTAGTCAAAGTAAGTTAAATTAGGGTTAGTGTATGAATTAGGGATAATACATTAATTGTTATTCTTTTCAGGGTTTTTTGTGCGTCAAAGCTACAAATTACTGGGGAGCCAACTGTATTAAAACTACAAACTATAAGGGTGCCAATTGTCAAAGCTACAAATTATTGAGATTGTCAAAGTTACAAACTATGGAGGTGCCAACTGTCAAAACTATAAACTATAGGGGTGCCAACTGTCAAAACAAAGGGGATCAAAGTGCAATTCAAACCCTCCCTTTTTGTCTATACATAAAACCCCTTGGGTTTGTAAAAAGATCATCTTTGGGTAGTGGAAAACCCCCCAAAAGTATTATTGTTTTCTTTTACTTTATTGTTTCTTTTACTTTAAGTATTGATTTCTTTTATTGTATTATTATTTTATTTTACTTCCATTGTTTGAGCTTCCTTCTTCCCTTCGAGGGGTAAAATTCTTCCACTTTTTTAAAGCTTACCAAAGCCGTGAAGGGTGGAACGTGAATTACTCAATATTTGTCGAAGATTGGCTCCTTGTGTAAAGTGTTTTACCTTGTAACTCCTCTACTTGGAGGGATGAGCATCACCCACTTTTCTAGCTTTGCCAAAGCCATGAAGAGTGAGTAGTTTCTCATTCACTCTTTCGTAAGAGGTGATGGGCATGTGTAAATCATCCAGAAGTTATATATGTGCATTTCATTTATGCTTAATGCTTTATATTTCACTTACTTATCGAATGATTGAATGCATCTAGCAAAGCTAATGTACTTTGTATAACTGTGAGTATTTTCTATGACATAGATGACTCTTGCATAGAAAGATTCATTGGTTCAAGGCAAGTACCCCAACTAGATCTTCATGACTAACCTTCAATCTTCACCATTATTGTGTTTCATTTAAAGAATGAAAAATTAATGCAATGGTTGGATGCCTTGTAGAAACACTTGCTTATTTGTAAATGGGTTGAGTCTCTACTTAGACAATTATTGTAAACTTTTACAAAGACATCGGAACCATATTATTAACTTTCACAATCCATCTTTGTCTTCCAATTAACTTCATGTTGACGCGTGGTTAATGGCGTTCCCAAGCACAAGTATAAAAAACTGAATGATTGACTACA